CAAATATCTTAAATAATTTCGTTGGATGAGAAAATCTATTTTCAATGTATTTGATAATGTGATTTAACGATGGATGAGTAACAAGTAAAACCCGACGAAATTCTTTTTTGTATTCAGAATTATCTAAATCAAATTGTAATAATGATTGTGGCCAGCATTCTACATCTTCTTGAAGATAGTTTGGACCATTCCACCACAAATCACAACCATTTAATTCTTCTGATGTTGTCCCTCGTGAAATCAAATCTGCAGGATTATTCTTTGTGCGAACATGCCTAAAATTGAATTTTTCTGCTTCTTCTTGAATATCTGCAACACGATTCCCAACAAAAACTGATAATTTTGCAGGTTCTGATTTGACCCAATGCAGAGCAATTAACGAATCACTCCATAGATAGACATCATTTGCTGGAATTTCCAATATTGTGCTAATTCGTTTTGCAAATTTTGTCAATAACAATAATCCACTAAGTTCAAGTCTGGCTAATGTTATTTGCTTCTGTGGTGCTACACGAGATTTCGATGTAATTATTCGACAAAGGACATTTTTGTTGGCATCTATTGATCGCAAATATAGCACCATGCCATATGCTTTTGTAGAAGCATCACAAAATCCATGCAATTGAATGTTAATTGAATTCAAACAAACAATTTGTCGATTTATTTTAATTTGATTAACCAATGCCAATGATTTCTCAAAAATTTTCCACTCTTCACATAAATCATCAGGTAATGTTGATTTCCAATCAAGATGTCTCGACCACAACTTTTTCATAAATAACTTAGCAGTTAATATGATTGGACCAAGCCAACCAATTGGATCGTAAATACTTGCAATATTAGAGAGGACTGCTGCCATTGTTAAAGATTTCTTCTCTTTGAAATTTAACTTGAAAGAAAATGTATCTGATGATATGTTCCAAATTATACCCAAAGCCTTAATTTCGCTTGATTCTTCAATCTTTTCTAAATAACTTGTCGGAATTGAAGATAGGACTTCTGGATTATTTGATACCCATTTTCTTAAAGACATTCCCGCTTTCTCAAATATTTCACATAATTCTTCTCGGAGATTGATACTCCTCTCAACAGTATCACAAGTAAATAACAAATCATCAACGTAAAAATTTGATCGAATCACTTCACATGCATCTGGATGTTTATGCTGATAATCTTCTGATAGTTGATTTAATGTTCGAGTTGCTAAATAAGGTGCACATGATGTTCCATATGTTACAGTATTTAAATTAAAATGTTTGAATTTCTCATGAGGATTATCTCTCCATATAATGCGTTGATAGTTTCGATGAGCTTCATTTACAAGAATCTGTCTATACATTTTAGCAATGTCAGCTTTTAATGCTATTGGTTTTGTTAGAAACTTAATGATGATATCATATAGTTCTGGCTGTACTGTAGGTCCAATAAACAATGTTTCATTAAGTGACATATCAGTTGCAGACTTGCAGGATGCATCAAAGACAACACGCAATTTGGTTGTTGTACTATCTTCCTTTACAACTCCATGATGTGGTAAATAATAGGATGATTCATATGGTGAAATAACGTTTTTTAATTCAGTCATATGTCCTAATTCTTCATATTCATTTATAAACTTTTTGTATTCATTAAAGTATTTAGCATCTCGCTTGAATCTGTTTTCTAAGCTTTTAAATCGAATAACTGCATTGTTCAAATTGTTGCCAAGATTAAGATAACTTGATTTAAATGGAAGATCAACAATATATCTTCCACTCCCGTCTCGCACTGTTGTAGTTGTAAATCTCTCCTCACAAATTTTTTGTTCTTTTGTCAACAATTTTCCTTTCTGTTCACATTGCTCAATCATCCAAAACTTCTCTAGTTGTTGTTCAATTGATGGCTGTTGTGAAATTGATAATAATGTTGTCTTTTTATTTTCATTACAATCTGTATTTCCGCTAAACATCCATCCAAACTTTGTATGTATTAGCAATCCATTGTTAAATATCTGATGTCTGTCCTTTAACACGGCATCCCAAAATATTTTACAACCAATCAACATATCAATATCACTCGGAATGTTAAATTCTGGATCAGCCATGAAGAATTCTTTAGGAATTTCAAACTTCTTGGTTTCAAAATGATGAACAGGTAACTGATCCGTAATTATAGGAAAAATATCGAGAGTAATGTTATTTTTAAAATTACCATATTTTGGATATCTTGACTTAATCGTAGCCATTGCTTCATATTTCACATCAGTAGGAATATTATTGATTCCTTTAACTTCTCTATTGATTTTTTTAAATGTTAACCCCAATCGTTTTGCGGTTGCTTCTCTAATGACATGTCCGTTGCTACCAGAATCCATAACAGCTTTTACAGTTTGCCAATTTCCATCTCTGTCACTAATTAAAATTTTAACTGTTGATAGCACAGTTTGAGTTGATGCCAATAATGTTTTGTTATTCATCACTAATCTTTTTTCAAATGACTTGCTTGATGATGGTTGTTCGACAGATTCTTCGTTTGATGTCTTGACTCGATGAAGTGTTGTGTGATGTTTATTTCCACATATGTTGCAGTTCTTCGAACTAATACACTTCTTTGCAATGTGTCCAGGTCTTAAACAATTCATACATAATTTCAATTTTGACACTATTTCAAATTTTTTATCAATATTTTCCTTGATGAATGATGGACAATTACTGATCAAATGATTTTGCGAGCAAATTGTGCAAACAAAATTAACTGGTTTGTTATTTGACAACAAACTTTTTCTATTTTGCTTATTTCCTTGTTGATATTTTGATGCAGATGCCGGAATTGATGATTCACTGGCAGTGTATTTAACAGACTTATGTCTTCCTTCCAAAAATGTACACAATTCATTGAATGTTGGTTTATGAGTATTTATGTGCAAATCCCATTCTCTTCTGGTGAATTTATCAAGTCTATCTCTGATCATTTTTTCATACATCAAATCCATAAACTCGCGCTCAGTCACATTCAATTTCACAAACGATGACCTTATACTGACGTATGAATCTACTAATTTCAATATATCTTGCGTTTTGTAAATCTTCTCAACTTGAAACAATGCATCTGTATATTCTAAAAGCATTGCTCTACGATCATCAAATCTCGAACATAATGCTTCCCAAGCATTTTCGTACGTTTCATCTGTTACTTGATAATTATTCAGGATGTTCTGTGATGCAGGTTCTATCTTTATAGAACTTTTTAAATAATGAAATTTGTCGATGTTGGAGAACGATGAATTCGTGTGCACCAATGAAACGAAAGTATCACGGAAAGTTAACCACTTGTCAAAGCTACCATCAAATTCTGGCAATTTAATTTCCGGTAATTTAACTTTTCTTATTTGATGACGTCGATCTTCATTTTCACGAATTGTAACATTATGGTGATGCTCTAGTTCTCCTTTCTTTTTAAAGTAAAAAAATTGAAGACCAATATGTTTGGATGTTATTTCTTTTTCAAATTTTATAAAACTTGAAGATTCTTCGTCTTCATCAATGTCACCCTTTTTTAAATTTGTATATTCAATGCGGTGTTGTTTAAAGGTTTTTAAATAATCATCCAGGATGTTGTAAGCAGTATTTAAATCATGGATGTCCTGATAATCAATACCTGGCTCGTGTAATGTCATAAAAACTTCATATGCAAGCATAACAGCTTTCATTTCTGTTTTTTCAGCTTCAATTGCTTTAGCTCTTGCCATTGTCAATTTCTTGAATTCTGCTTCTTAGAGATGATAACTGCGCGATTTGCGTCGAGTTCACGCTCGTTTTCGAATTAACTTGGATATAACAAGACTAATTCGAATTTGGCCCTTGAACTAGTTCAATCAGCTCCAATACACCGAATTCCTTTCTTGACAATTTCTCAATTCCAAAATTTTGTTGAAAATTCAAATTAATTCTTCAACTTCAATTCCAAAGGTTTCTTGTATAATAATTTTCTCAAATTCAATATCTTCAAGAACTGCAATCTTTTTAATAAAGATGTGATGAAGCTCAGCTTCCAATTCCAATTTAAGGGACGATGACAATAACGTTCCTTTCGCTGTTTGCTGCTGAATTCAATCTATCAGCAATCTGCCAGCCTCAATTTCAATAAATTCTATCTTCCAAAAATTGCTGTTCCAATCGCAAGGTTCGAAGGACCATGAAAAACGATAGCTTTTCCTTATAGTGGACTGTATTTCAATTTCAGGATTGATAAAAAGAATTACAAAATATAATCTCAATTTATTTCAATTTCAATTTCAATTTACAACGTTGTGATCGTTTTCACCAATTTTTTACATTAACCTTTTTCTAATTTTCAAAGCCAACTTGAAATTATGATGAACACCATTCATCAAGAACAATATGTAGATCTCGGTAAAATCTACTATTAAATACATGGGGAGTAATGCAACTGATAATGAGAAATATAGATTTGGAGACAAATTTGTAGAAAAAAATCATTCGTAGAATCGCCCTTACACAACAAAATAACGGTTTTAATTTAAAATTTGACCCCATTTTTTGAATAAACCTAAACTATAGTTTTTCATCTCAACTTCCAAGTTAAGTTTCACTGATTCTCGTCAGTTTTTAATCAAATAATATAATAAAGTATTTTTTTGCAAATTTTATGTCTTGAGGTTGTTATATCCCTCTTATTCCAAATTTAAAACCATTGATTTTAACATGTTAAACATTTGAGGCTGTCTGGTGATTCTTAAGATAATTTAACTTAAAAAGCATTAAAAATAAAATTGAAGTTAAAAAATTATTAGAGGGAAAAATGCGCTAAGATCTAAAAATTTCATAACGAACTTAAGATTTTTAAAATTGTCGTTTTCTAAAAACTACCTATTCAAATCTCAACGGAAAAAAAACAAACGAGAAAAGAAACATTTTGCATAAAGTTTTTAAAGTATTGATTTCTGTGAATTTAACAAAGAATTTAATTATTTTATTTCTTTATTGTAAAGACTATTGATTGATTGCGATGGAGTCATCAGAGAAATCAGGTAAATATATTGATTTTTTAACAAAAGTTCGATTGTTTAATTGTTCTAAAAATTGATGAATTTCATAAAGATACTCCAAGACGTTCCATGAGACTTCAAAGACAACGAGCTGTGACACCAGATTTGCTAAAGTTAGGACCTCGCGAATTGATGAAATTCAATAAGTCACGCCAAAAGATTGAATTTGATCAAAGCTCATCATCCAAAAATTTGCCAGAAATAAACATTATTCCAGCAACTCCAGTGTCTGCTTCAAATCCAATTAAGAAAAGAAGACATACACATAACAGTACTGCTTCCAAGAAAACTAAAGCAGATGATTTTAAAAAGATAGAATACTCAGTTAAAGCTGACGATCGGAACGAAAAAAAGGAAATTCAACAAGATCCAGTTAAAGATGAAATTGAAATTGTTGAGATTCGATTTGTTGAAACTAAAAGCGATGACAACACCGGTCAAAATCAGGAACAAATAATTCAAAGTCCAACTGAAAATGAAGAATTTCATTCAGCCCTAAATGAAAATATTGAAGACAAATCTTGTGATAAGACACTTGAAGCAACTGATAAGGATAAAAAGGATTCAAATAATAAACTTGAATATAAGATAGAACAAAAAGTAAAAGTCGAAGTTGAGAAATTGGATTTAACTCCTCAGTTAATGGATGAAAGTATCATATCAGTTCCAGATTCTCCTTCTATGATAAGCACAGCTGTTGTCAAAGATGCAACATTCAGTCCAGAGGTTGATACATCAATTATTAAAGATACAAGGCCACACATTGATAACGTTATGACACCAATTTTATCACGAAATATTACGCTACGTACTAGTACTCCGTTAAGTCGTGTATTAATACGTGAAACACCAAAACTATCGGATCCGGTCATAAGTGCATTAAAGAAGGTCTTGTCTCCAAAACTTGGCGACAATAAGAAGTTAAATGAAGAAAGTTTGAACGAGACATTTAATAGTCAGTTCAAAATGGGAAATCCCCTAGAGAAAAGTATTCTAAAGAGCTCACGACGTAAACGTTCATTGTCTGTAGCTGATGGTGAATCATTTATGCAGAAAAGAGTTGATTTTATGTCACCACAAATAATGAATATTGACATGATTGATGAGAAAATGCTACAGTCTTTCAAAGAAGAGAAGGAAATTTCGAAGCAACAGCAATCACTAGCAAGTGGTAGTGGTTTGCACCGAAAAAGATCATTATCTGAAACGGGAACACCTGGTAAGGCAAAAATTAAAGTGCCAAATTTTAAAGCCATACATGAGCAGCAATTTAGGAAAATGGAATCTATTGTTGATCATGCTCAACGTAAATCTGAACGTGCAAAACGTCTTGCAACTCCATCAAAAATGTCGTTTCTTCCCAAAATCAATGAAACTTCTGAACATAATGCTATATCAAAAATTCCGACTAGAAAACCATTAGCAAAAGTGTCGTCGTCAGAAAATATTTTGCATGGAATAAAATCTCGCACAATCAAAAGATCAAACTCTGCTGAAGCTTATCCAAGGCCTTCTTCCTCTTCGAAAATTCCAAGTTTAAAAGAAACTGAACATAAATTAAGCTCTGGTAAAAAGATCTTATCACGCATCTTAGAAACAAAAACTACCGCACTATCCAAATTGCCAGCTATTAATACAAAAGTTCCACCAGTATCCAAATTCACAGCTACAAAGAAACCAACAGTTTCAAAGACAATTCCAAAAGCAGGCTCATCAGTTCAGTCAATGCGAGCCAAAGTCGAAGAAAGGCGTGAGAGAAATATGTCTTTATATAAAGGAAATATTTCCAAAACTGGATTGGATCATCGCAAGAAAACCGAAAATGCTATTAAAGGTGTTCGATTAAACCGACGTTTCGAGTTGCAGATGCAGCATCGTCGTATGGAAGATTGAGTCTGAATTTATAAAGTACTAAATTATCTTTTGTCACTTTTTTTTTCATTTTAATTAATCATTTTATAATAATCTCATGATTTAACTTAAAATCAATTTAAAAAAAATTATCTTAGTTTATTACGTTTATTAACAATCATTACTTCTTTTAAAAACAGCAAAGCACTTGCACGTTATTTCAATTCAACAAATGAAAAGAGAGCCACAAACAAAAAAAAATGAGCGAAAACAAAAATTTGAAATGAGAAGCATTAATGAAAAAAATAAGTCTAGACTATCAGTTTATACTTGTCAGTAGAAACAAACAGCTCAAATGTTTGCTTACAGCTGAATTATTTTTATTTACTAATTTCTTCATCATATTATATATCGTTGCATTGTTAAACATCACTAATAAAAATTTGAGTTGTGTTAAAAATTATATGTGTCACATGTTAAGTTTCAACTTATAAAATTAAAATTAAGCTTTCAAAAAAACTTAATGAAAACGTTAAATTGAATTCATCATCATTCAGAGAAATAATATGGAAAAATACATAAACGAAACAGTCAGTCAGTGCATGTATACACTTATGCTGTAAAAAAAATAAAAAGTGTTATTTACCTTTAAATTTGTCTGTAGACTAGAGATCTCAAAGAAATTCGGTTAATAGAAAAGACCAAAAATAAGAAGAAAATATTGCAAAATCGCTGTTAACGTAAACAAGGTATCTGCAAGAAGAAATAAAGTTACTTCGGAGCAACAAGCGTTTTATTTTTTATATTTATATTTATTCCTGATCAAATTAAATTAAAATGTAAGTTTTGTATTTTTAGCGCATTTTTGAAACTTGTTTCTAAAAGGTAGCTTAATATCTCACTTTGTCTGTTCGTTCGGGCGGAGAAAAACTTTTTAACTAGACATCGTTGAGAGTTCTGGTTTGTTTTATTAGCTCAGGTCCATTGTTTTATTTTCGGGAAACGCATTTAAAAGTCTTGAAACATGTTTTAGTACTATAATTAATGATTTTTATATTTCATATGAAAAAACACGTGATGAGAGCGTTTTTTTAAATTCGAATTTATTTCTACCGTTGAAAATTTTGAATCTCAAAAAACCGTTAAATTACCAAGCCTTTTTATATGAAAATTTTTTGCAACAGACTGTTATTTATGCTATAATTAATGCTTTTACTGTTATTTTGGTAAGATACTTTCAAATGCATACGACCGTTACAAAATTTGAATTTCAGAAAACCGTTAAATGATAAACAATTTATATAGAATGAAAGATATTAAATTGATAAATATACTATAATTAATGATTTTTTGTATATCTTTTGGCGGGAAGCTCTCAAAAACTTACTGACCGTTAGAAAATTTGAATTTCAAATAATCGTTAAATGATAAACTTTTTATATAAGGAAATTCATTGGAACAAATTATTTAATTATACTATAACTAATGTTTTCGTATTGCAACTTTTAGCGGGAAAAATTTCAAATTATTTATTAACCGTTAAAAAATTTGAATTCCAAAAAAAACGTTTAATGATTTATCATATATATATCATGAAAATGTGGCATAAAAAGTTTAAAAAAATTGCCGAGCGAGAAAAAAAAAGCTTTTTTTAAGCTTATGAACTACGTTAATAAATTATTTTTGAACTGGCTTGTTCGGTGCTGGTGGGCAGCTCATGAAGCCATACTTCACCATGAGTTTAAATGCAGTTCCGAGGTGCATCCTTTGGGATCTTTCCGGCTTCGTCTACGAAACTGCAGAACTGATTTATTGCTTCTTCAATGTTGGGGATTCTCTTTAGACGTTCTTGAGCTTCTGTGAATTTCTTGAAAAGGCTTTCATTCTTTACTGCTTCGTTGAGTTTCTCTGCACAACTGATATTATTGATCAGTTGTTGCTGATTAATCTCTTCTTGAAATGTTGCTGCTGAGTTACTTGCAGCATTCACTGGATGTGAATGAGCAGAAACTTGATGTCGTTTGCTTAACGATGGAAAATTGTTACTGTCCAAAAGACTTGATATCTGTGGCAGCATTTTGAGTTCATTTGGAATACGAAATGAACGATAGGCACAGTCTATAACTGGCAGCATGATCGCCATTGCAATTAATGCACTTGGCATTTCCATCACGAGTGGATCGTTGACATTGATTCGGTCCGTGAACTTCCGTGCACTTGACGCATCGGAACTTATATCCACAATTTTGAGATGAGTGACCCCAACGTTGGCAGTTGAAGCACTGCGTTGGGCTTTTGTTGCCCTTCTTGATGTTCTCCCACTTGACGATGATGTTGTCGATGTTACGGTGGTTATGATTGAGCACGTTGATGTTCACACTTTCATCTTGAAAATGCACAAGATAAAAGGTGAACTCGGGCTTCTTGACGAAAATTGTCACTTCGACAGCTGAAACCTTGGCTTCTTGAAGTAATCTTAGTACTTCATTCGTTGGTGTTTCCTAAAATCCTTTCAGAACGAATGACTTTGTTTTCTCCGATTTCTCGGAGAAAGTGTGAAATGGGATCCATTGAGACCGCAATACGCTGATTATTGAGGCCTTGTCCTCAACATTTTTGACTATGACTTGTGTTGTAGCCGCTGATGAAATTTTAAATGCAGGCTTAACCTGCAAATTGATTTGTGAAATTATTTTTCTCACTTCATTAATATTTTGCTGGATGAACAAAGGCTTTTCAGCCTTTGTAGCTGTTACTGGAACTTCAGGTTCTGCCGTGGAGTTTTTTTTTCTGGAACTTGTTTTCTTTGTTTCTTGAGATTTTGTTTTGATCCACTCGGGATTTCATCAAAGTCCATTTTTGGACTTAAATCCTGCTTCCTTTTGCGTCTCTTCATTCCCAATGGGCAGCAGACAGCTCCGTGTACTTAAATTAATAGTTTAAACAACTATAAATAACTTGGAAACTATTTAAGGGCGATTCTACGAATGATTTTTTCCTACAAATTTGTCTCCAAATCTATATTTCTCTTTATCAGTTGCATTACTCCCCATGTATTTAATAGTAGATTTTACCGAGATCTACATATTGTTCTCACCAAACATATTAAAAATGGTTAATTAAAGAATTATTTACATTCTACGAAAAATTACTCTGTTTCACATGAATTTTTTCGCCCAAACTGCCAAAATGTTTTCATTAATATCTATAAGGTAATAAAATTTCCACTTATACTAAGTATACAAAGTTATAGCTTAAAGTAAAAGCTTCAAAACGATGTCAAAATCATATTTGTGGAAGCCTTAATTAAGCTGCAATTTGGATTCTACGAAAAATTTCATAAGTGAAATTTGGAGTGAAAATTTCATAAGTGAATAAGTTTGGAGACAATTCCAAAAAAAACTACCAAATATTAAAATTAAAACCATGAATTTCTCAAGCCATAGCTAAGTAATTTGAGCGCAGATGTAATCATAATTCACAGTTTAACCAATAGAAAAGGAAATGAGAATTAGATTTTTAAAAAACTATGCACAAGTGAAAATAAAATAATTAAAAAATTTCATGCAATTGACACGGATTATTTTCATGAAACCTTTTCGTAGAATTGCCCTTAATTAATTAAATGAAATTTTTCACACGTTTATGCACGAGGGGCTTTCTTAATATATCCTTTCTATATAAGCATTCATTTTAATTATTTGCTAATTGCACTAAAATCAATGATCTTCTAATCTTCTAATGATCTGTAAATGAACGCAAAATAAATAGATAATCAAATACTGATCGCTAACACAAAAATGCGCTTAAGTCCCTCGATCAATAACACGAGGACTTCTGTAATTTTTTTTTTAATACTGATCGTTTAATAATAATTCATATTCGCTTCAAGGAGTCCATAACCAGTCCCGTTTAAAAACAAAACTAGTAAAGAGGTGATCACACGTGATCGACCGAAGTGCATTTTCCCCGCACAGAATTCGAGTAGAAATTAAAATCTAAAAACTTAATACATTTGAAAAATAACTTGGTTGGAACCTAGAATTGTCATGAAATTACATACTTCACGAATGCAGAAACTCAACTTGGTAGTTCATGCAATTTTCAAATTTTGATATAATTTTGGGGAAAAAGTTGAATGATTGAAAAATATGTAAATTTGAGATAAAGTTTGCATGAAACGTCATTTTCTTGTTCCATAATTGTTAAATCTTCTTAAAAAGAGTCTGCAATACTTATTGTGTCTACAAAGAATTAAATCCAGTCTTTGGTACTTAAAATTGCAGGCCAACATATCGATCATATGGCTTTGGTACAATTTGTCATTTTGTAATTATTACATAAACTGACAATTCAGCAAGAAATTCAGATTTGGAATGTCTTCAATCATCTTTTAATTGCGTTGCAAATTATTAATTTCAACTTTCTTATCAAATGAATTTATTGATGGAACCAGGATGGAACTTAATGTCGAATTGCAAAAACTGCACTATTGGTTGAACTAACCACTAACGGATTCTACAAAAATGAACTTTCTACTTTGAATAAAATTCTTGTTTTCTTCAGGGTAATTCTCCGAGTAAAGGGCAATTTCACGGATTGATTTTTCCAAAATATTCATCTTTGAATCGAATTTTCTCTTAATTAGAGAACTTTGCAGCTGCAATTTTTAAACAAATTTATCTATGGTATATTACACATGTTGAATTCTGAATTTGAAAGCAGAAATTAACTACTATAAAGACATCTAGACAACTCTTAATGGTTGTTATGCCGTTCATTCTATCCTCTTCTATGATTTTGCATACTTAATTTGACTTGAAAGATACTCAATAGACAGAAAAATAAACAATTTTAATGCAATCAATGTAATATACCAACGCTTAAGCCAAATCCGTGAGAAAATGATTTTTAAAAAAGCAACTTTTACTTTAATTAACAATAATTTCTTTGATTAGAATCTTGTTTCTAAAAGTTTAATAGTGAATGAAGATCTTGAACTCGTTTTAAAAAGTGTTACTTTAGTTTAAGTTTATTTTTTAAGCAATCAATTTTTTAAAGAACATGGATCAAAAATTTATTTTTTTTCGAAATTCAACTCATCCGTGGAATTGTCCTGCATCATTTTTTCGACTGTTTTTTTTTCTTTGTATAATTTTCAA